ACTCCCGACTCATACGTCACGAGGAACGCCTGGGGGGCCGAGGACCGATGTATGACAAGGGACCCCAGAAGCTGACCAGTGGAACGCTTTGTTGATAAGATTAGGACCATGGCTGGGGGTCTGGGGTCCAGTTTCGATGACAACACTTGGTCATCAAGCTGATAACATGGTCAGCAGACTCATTGTCCCCCAAGCCCTAGATGACATTCCTGAGTGTCACCATCCTTTCTCCTTGTCCTCCTAACGCACAGAGCTGATGCTCTATGATTGTTCTATCAATAAAAATGGCCAGGATCTAGCCCTCAGCAGCATCCTGCATTATGTAGCCCGCTCCACGACTCCCATGACTGTCAGCGTGGTGTTGCCCTTCACAACAACCTACCCCCCCCCCACAACTATAAGGTAACATTCAGCAAACAGGCAGGACCCAGAGCAGAGCAGAGCAAACCAGGCCCAAAAGCAGAGCCTCCAGGAGGATGAATCCAGGGCACCTCCCAGCAGGAAACACAAGCAAGAGGTTTTGCAGGACCCGAAGGGTTGGGAGGGAAGAATATAACCAAAGTTTAGAATGTGCCACCCAAGCTGAATCTACCATGCAGTCAAGATGGCAGCTGCCATAGTTTCTCAAGAGAACGGGGTGCTGCCTGCCTGGCCCTGAAGCCAGGAAAAGGGCCACGGCAGGAGCCAGCTGGAGGGCTGTGCAGGGGCCTGAGCAGAAACAGAGGCTCCAGCACCCTCAGGGGCAGCACAACTGTTTTGATCCCTTTCCCTCCCCTGCTGGATGCCTCAGATCTATGATCAATTTGCAAGTTTTGTCATTTTCCTGACCCTTTGTTTAGAAGTTTTATGATTTGAGTTGTGTCCTATCTAAACAATATTTGTCTAACCTAAGGTTGCAAAAATTTTCCTCATGTTTTCTTCTAGAAGTTGTAGAGTTGTTGATTTTATATTCAGTTCTATAATCCATTTAAATTAATTTTGTATATGATTCAAGGTACAAGTCAAAGTTCGTTGTTTTGCATCTATCTATCAATCAATATTTCAGTGCTATTTGTTAAAAAGTTCTCCATTTAATATAGATTTACCTTAACATCTTTGTCAATAAACAGTTTATAATATATACATGAGTCTTTCTGGACTATATTCTGCTTCATCGATCTGAATAGGTCTATCTATACCTCAACCTGCACTGTCTTAATTATTGTAAAAGAGTAAATCTCAAATGTGGCAGTATTATTCTTTCAACGTTTCCAAAGTTGTTTTGGGTAGTCTGTGTTCCTTGTTTTTCTACATACATCTTATAAATAACTTGTTAATTTCTATTTTTTAAAAAAGGTTGCAAGTGTTTTGATCAAAATTGCTTTAAATATATGGATCAATTTGGGGAGAATTAACATTTTAACAATACCAAGGTCTATGATTTATGAACATATACTTGAACAGATAGTTTTCAGGAAGCCTCATTGTTTTTTCCTGTTCCTGGATGTTTTTCTCTCATGGTTGATGATTAGTATAAGTGAAAGTGGTAATTCCCTTCCTGTTGCCAAGGTTGGCTCAGGAAAGGGCTTATGACTCAACTCTAGCCCATGAGGCTGGAGCAAAATCAGCTCTGTGATTTCTGGCAAAGGTGTCTCTGTACTGATACACAGGAAGACAGGCCTCTCTCATTCTCTGGATGTGGTAATGACCAGCTATGATACCAGAAATTATTGCAGTGATTTTGTCAGGAAACCAGAATGAGGGCAAAGAGCCAACACACAGAGGATGACCAAACAAAAAAGATAGAAAGACCCTGGACCTTGATGACCACAATGAACCCCTGAAGTAACACACCAACCTCGGCGTCTGCCCCATGATACCTTGTGAAGTGAGAAATGCCCGTTTGACTTGGGTTTTTCTGTTATTCATATTGAAAGTCATTCTTATCAAGTAGCTAAAACACATCTCTTAAAAAAATCACAAGCTATCTGGAAGGGATCATGCTCAGCGAAATAAGCCAGAAAGAAAAAGAAAAATCCCGGATGGTCTCACTCATAGCAGGCATCTAGAAAACCTAAATAATGGACCAAGAAAAAGAATAACTATAAGAAAGAAAAAAGTCAAAATCAACAAACAACTATGAACCAGAGACACACTTTGGGGGGGCGGGGAAAGGAGGAATTGGGGTCAAAATCAGGGGGTTGCAATTGTATGGGGAATATAAAAATAAAATTAAATTAAAAAAAAACAAAAAAAAATCACAAGCTATCAATTTTTATTTAAGGAAAATTTTATTTTTCCCATTCTGTACTTAAAACTTTAATATTGTTTGCAGATTTATAAAGTAAATATATGAGCTGTCTCAGTATGGAAGGGCAAACAATATGAATATGATTAATATAACAAGCCAGAGGTTTCCTTTGGTGCCTCCTTTCCTCCCGAGCTAATCACACATCCTCACTGGGAAACAACCATTGTTAATTTACTGTGTATCCTTCCAGATCTTGTTCTGTGCATGAAAGTGACACGTATGTATTTAAAAAACATAACTTATTTGAATATTTACAAAAAAGATGAATACTTAAAGCCTAGAAAAACCTTATAAAATATACAAATTTTTTTCACAAGTGAATTGAAATTATTTGAAATTTTTGCTTTATAGGAAAAACATTATTTGTGATTCATTTTTGGTGTTCTCTCTTAGAATACAACAGGTAGAACTGCAATAACTTTCTAGAACCTTTTAAAAAATTAAAACATGCATTTAAAAGGAAATATACTGATCTCATTGAATACTGACGCACAGTGGTTAGAAAATACACATGAACTATGAATGATTTAATTCCAATCTCGGCCAGTCCTGTTAGACTTACAGGCTATTCTACCTGTCATAATTTTTGTAACCATTTCTCAATTACACTTTTCTTCCACTCAGAGTGTGAGGGCTATGACTTTAAGTGAATATGTTTTTTTCAAATAAGAAAGTGTTTAACAAGTTGGGGACAAGAGAGTTATTGAGTCTCTTGGACTGATGAAAATACAGTAAAACATCTCTTTCATATTTAATATAAATCATGAACCCATTATCATAAAAATGACTTATAATTTCACTTACAACCTTGGCAACAGGAAGGGAATTACTGCTTTCACTTATACTAATCATTAACCGTGAGAGAAAAACATGCAGGAAAAAGTCACTTACAATTTCAATTACAATTAATAGAAAATTGTACAATTACAATTAATTCAACTACAATTAATAGAAAATCCAATTTTAAAGTGACTTCAATAAGGAAATTTACTAGTTTGTATAACTAGAAAATCCAAAAGTAAGACCAACTTTGGTGTCAGTTTATTTCTTTTTTCTTTTTTTTAAAGATTTATTTATTTTATTTTATACAAGAACCGGGGTACAGGCCAGATGCCTGGGAGGGTGAGAGGATTCATCAGAGACAGAGCGGGGAACAGAACAGGCAGACTGATGAAATACTCTGCTGAGGGGAGCAGCGGGCAAGACAGGAGAGATCTGCAGGGCCATGTGGGACCCTCGCCGCCTGGCAGGGATCAAACCTGTGGTGCAGGGGCTGCTGACAGTTTCATAGCGTGGCGCTCAACCGCCTGCGCCACCAGGGAAGGCCCTGGTGTCAGTTTAATTTAGCAACTCAGACATCGTTTTAAAATTTCTGAAAGATTTGATTTCCTTTTATATATTGTTTTTACTTTTTGAAACATCTCTTCATCCAAAAGCAGGTGTCTTGTAGGGGCAAGATGGCGCCAGCAGCTCCCAGGACACCTTGTCCAGGCAGAGAAGGAGCCAGGGTCTCTGCCAGGCCTTTGCCAGAAGCCCCAGGCTTGCTCTGATTGGACCATCTTGAATATGTGCCTTTCCTGGAGGCCAAAGAAATACATTCTTTTGATTGGCTTAGGTCTGGGTTAGGGGCTGGTTTCTAACCAAGCACTGTGTCAAGAGTGTGAGATTATTGTATAATAGTTTAGTTTAGGCAACACAGGACCTACACCGCAACTGGATGTGGGGTTAATGGCAACAAAATGTATGGATGCTCCACGGCGGTGTGGGAAGGAAGGATGTTGAGAAGCTCATCCTAACATGTGCCATTCTAAGGCTGAGGGGTTGTGTGTGCAAGCATCAGCAGCAGTTATCGTCTTGTGGTGGAACTATGGGGAATTTTGATGTTCTTTTTTTTTATTTTAGATTTTATTTTATTTATATAAGAACTGGGGTATAGTCAGAGGCGTGTGGGGTGAGAGGATTCACCAGAGACAGAGCGGGGAGCGGAACAGGCAGACGGACTGAAGACACTGCTGAAGGGAGCAGCGGATGGGGCCAGAGAGGTCTGCCGTGCCATGTGGGTTGCTCCCTGGCTGGCTGGGAATTGAACCAGCGCTGCAGAGGCTGCAGACAGCTTCACAGTGCTGCGCTTAACCCACTGTACCACCGGGGAGGCCCCGATGTTCTTTTTTATGTTTATCTGTATTTAACATTTTTGACAACAAACAGGGATTACTTGAAAAACTTCAAAAAGAAAAGAAGGCTATAAATATGCAGGAAAGCTGGTGTATAACACTTGTAATTAGCAGCTTGAGGTATTTATAGCAAACATGTTGGCAAACAGGAAATCTGAGTTTTCAGAATGCTACCAACTGTTCCTTGCAGAAGCTTCTAACTGTTCTTCTCTTGCCTGTTTTGAAATTGTGGTCATTTCTATGCGCACAGTCTGAGATCTTTGAAAGTTGGTCTGCCTTAAAACCACTAGTCGTAGTGGCTTGAATTTTTCCCCACGTCACTTAGAAAAATTCAGAAAAATTTCCCCATGTCACTTTCAAATACCAGAAAATAGTTCTCAAGCCCAGAAGGGGTACAGAGTAAGCATCTTTTTTGCCTAGGGACCCCTGTTTGTGGAAAGGGAGGTGCTGACTGGCTTCTTCCACTTCCTTCTTGGACAGAAAATACTGAACATTTTTTTAGGAAGTGGCCACCAGACTCTCAGCATTCCCCGAGATCTTGCAGCTCTTCATATGTTGAATCACAGTGTGACACGCGATGCAGGCGCCATGGAAGGGCCTCGGGGCTGAAGATTCAAGATTCTGGGAGAATTGCAGGTGGAGCATGCCTGCCCCTTAATTCACTTTGATGCTGGGTGTTGAAGTTCTTCTTAGGATTTGCAAAGTAACTTTTGCTGCTCTCCTACGTACTTTTTTCTGGAATAGAGAACTCGTCTTTCTACTGGCAGAAAAGACCTCCCCTCATCAAGTAAGGTAAGGAGTTCTCATGTCATGCCAATTCTCCCTGTTAGGGCGGCTTGGAATGAATTCTCAGGTCTTCATTTTCAGAAACCTGATTTTATCTCATCATGCCCTTCTGGAATTATCCCATGGTGATGTCAAACAATAGACAAGCATTTTTTTTTCAGTTTCACGAGGAGAGCTCTACTTGCCAAAAGGATAGATATGCTCTGGGTTGAGTGGTCAAAGCTGAATGGTCTCAGTAGGAAAAGACATTTGGGAGGGGAAACAAGGCCAGAAGGTGGGTCTTAGATGCTCCTAACTATCCTGTGTTTCTCCTGGGAATGTCAGCCACCCCCAACCAGTGTAAATTTCACTAGAGTAAGGACCATGCCTGTCTATTCAATTTTGAGTCCATCGCACCTAGAACAGCAGGAGGTACTCAACACAGTTGTGAGGAATGAACGCATGGAAAGCTGGCTCTCTACATGAACGAATCCTTATCATTTTCAAGAGTCATTGTCCTCTGAAAAGTTTCCTTTCTAGGAATATTAGACTCCCCACTCTTGGTTTCTTTAATTCTTTGAATTAAAGCATTTAACTCACAGTGTTGAAACTATTTGCTTATCTCTCTGCTGAAAGATTGTAAACTCCACAAATGTAGGGAGTCTGTCTTATTTTTCCATTTAACTAACTACTGGCACTTTTCACAGTAGTCTGGCTCACAGTAGCTACTCATTGAATAAAATAATACTGTGGTGGCCTCATGACGATCTCTCAGCTTGTGGGATATATTTGTGAGTGGATCAGCCTATTACATTAATCAGGCCCTTTTGCGTCTTCAGTGTTGGTGATCGTTACTACTTTGTTACTCTTTGCTAGCCGTTGTTCTAAGGGAACAAAAACCCTTTTATTTTTAGCTGTTATTTCAATATCCTCTCTGTGAACCAATCCACGGGGTGGATGCCATGCGTTACATTTCCAGCATCAAATTAGTCACTTCCTGAGGTTATACCAAGAGGCGGGCTATGACGAAAGAGCATATCCCTCTTGGGTTATGTGTGTTCTTACAGTTTTGGTCGTGCAAACTCAAGTCCCAGTGTGGACCCTACTCACTCACGGCTCAACTCTTTTATCTCCTATTGTCCTCTGTGTGGAGGCTGCCCTTCCTCTGGTAGGTATGCTTGCCTTCCGATAAGGTCGCATTTCCTTGGATCCAGGTGGGGGTTTGCAAGGCACCACTCCGACACCTGTGAAAGCCAGTGGCTCCAGGTGATCCCCCAGACCTGGATCAGACATAATAGTCAGTGTTTTGAGACCAGGAATTTAGGAAGTAAAGACATAGACCAAATAGAAAACATATTTAAGATCAAGGCAGGGTGATAGTAGATACTCAAGTTCCATAATATTGGCAAGAACTGGAGACTGAGATATGAACCTGATTCTTTAGCAGAGTTGCCACAGCCAAGGATTCCACATTCTCTGTTGATTTGTGAGGCTCAGTCCAAGGAAATGGATGATTTAAATGCCCAAGTTGGTGGGGAAAAGGAAGGCAGGACATTTAGAGTTCTCTTGGAAGGTTCTTTGAGTAATGGAGCAAGTCTCATTAGCCCAGAGTGACACAGGCATGCTTTTATGGTGCCCACCACTGGGATTTATCCTTCAAAGCATCATTCCCTTATTGAAGGACCAGGCCCTACATCCTGCACTTGTGTTGTCACCTGGATTGCTCCAGTTGTGTCAAGCACCACACATTTCTGTGATACTGGTCATCTGTAGCTTCTTACGTCTGCATCCTGACACCTCTCCCTCCTTTTATATCAACCTTTACTTTGCTTTGACAAGTTATTCTTTGTTTTTTAAAGTTTCTACATTATTTTCCCTACCACCATCTCCTGTGCCCCCTGGTCCCTTTCCTGCCCCCTTTCTCTTAACCTTTGAGTCCTCATAGTGTTTATTGATGTCCAAATTTTTGTATGCATTTTACATAGACATCTGGGATTTTGATTCTATTCCACTGATCCATGTGTCTATTTTTGTGCCAATGCCATACAGTTTTTAATACTGTTGTTTTAAAGTTTGAAATCAGGTAATGTACTTTTCTATTCTTTTTTTTAATCAGAATTGATCTTTTTTTATTTTGTCAGTTTAGTCTTCCGTGGTACCTTATAAATTTCAATATTTTGGTTTAATTCCTTTAAAAACTACTGCTGCTATTGTTATTAAATTTATATGTTATACAAGGCAGGGCAGTCATTTTGATTATATTAAAATGAGCAGGGGATGTCCATGAGCAGGGGATGTCCTTCCATCTCCTTGTGTCACTATCTAACTCCTGTAATGACATGCTGTAGTTCTCATTGTGTAGTTCTTTTACCTTCTTTTTGATCTCTGCATTTTGAAGCAATTATAAATGGAATCATTTTCTTACTTTCTTATTCTCCTTGTTCATTGTATGTAAAAAAATTAAGGATTTTTGTATGTTGATTTTGGAAACTACCACTTTCTGTATTCATCTGTTGTTACTAATAACGGTTTTATGTTGGGATTTTCTACATATAATATCACGCTGTCTACAATAACAATAGTTTCACTTCTCCAACTTGAATTCCCTTTATTTCCTATTTTTGTCTGATAGCTCTGGTCAAAACCTTTAATACTAAGTTAAGCAGAGGAGGTGACACTGGGCATCCTTTTCTTGTTCCTGATCTTAAGGGGAAAATTTTCAGTTTTCAATCAATGAGTATTACATTGCTGTTGGCTTGTGATATGTGGCTTTCATTCTATTCCCACCTTGTTTTAGAGTTTTAATCATAAATGGATAATAAATGTTGTCAAATGCTTTCTCTGCATCTATTGATATGATCACATGATTTTTACCTTAGCTTTCGTCGATATGATGTAACACATTGACTACTTTACATGTATTAAACCATCCTTGTTGAATTCAATTTGTGAGTATTTTGTTAAAGATTTTTGCATCAATGTTCATCAGGGATATTGGTTGTATAACTTCCCTGTCTTGCGTTGTCAGTATTAGGGTAATGTTTGTACTGCAAAGTGTATTAGGAGCATCCCTCTTATATTTTTCAAAATAATTTGAACAAGATGGACCTTTGTTCTTCTTTAAAGCTTTGATAATATTCATTTGTGAAGTTGTCTTGTCCTGGGTTTTTGTTTTGGGGAAGATTTTTTTATTGCAATTTCTATTTCTGTGATTGTGATTAGTTTGTTCAACTTATCTCTTTCTTCCTAGGTTAGTCTGGGTAGACTATATTGATCTAGAAATTTGTGCATCTCTCATGGTGATGGTCACAGGTGATGTGGGGTGGGATATTTACAGGGACTGCACCTGAGGGGAGAAATCAAATACTGTACAAAAATGACCAGGAATGTAAAAAAAAAAAATTAAAAATTAATAAAAGGAAAAAAAAGAAATTTGTCTTTTTTTTATGGTGCTCTGGACTTTTTTTATGTGTGGTTAGATTTTGTTTAGAAATTCATTCAGCTTCTCTATCCCCTTTGACTGGGGTATGTGTGTGTGTGTATGTGTGTGTGTGTGTGTGTGTGTGTGTGTAGTCTTTTTGATCTCTATTTTATTTAAAGCCACTCTTATCTTTATAATTTTCTCCTTTGGGTCTTGTTTGTTCTTTTTTTTTTCACACTGTATTTGCGTTAGTATGGGGTAATTTATTTGGGATTTTTCTTGCTTCTTGTGGGCCTGCAATTATCTTCCCTCTTAAAATCACTTTTGCTGCATTCCACAGATCCTGGTAACTTGCACCCTCATTTTCATATGTCTCAGGTATTTTTTGATTTCTGCTTTAATTTTCTTTTATTCAATAGCTATTATATAGCATATTGTTTATTCTCCACACAGTCATAGTTTTTTCTGTTTTTTCTTTCTTTCCAGTAGTTGATTTCTAATTTTATGGCATTGTGGGCAGAGAAAGTACTTGTACAATTTTGGTCTTTGTCATTTTATTGACGGTTGACTTGTGTCCCAATATATGGCCTATTCTTAAAAATGCTCTATGTACCCTGTGTTGGTGGGTGCCCTGATTCAGCAACCTTAGGGGGCTCTGCTGAGCAGCTGGGTTGTACTGCCCCTGGGTCGCTATAAATGTACCTTTGTAAAAAAATGTGTATGCAGTAGCTTTCAAAGGAGGATTCTGTAGATGTCTGTGAATTCTGTGATCTAGCTCCTTATTTAAGACTATTGTCTTATTGATGTGCCCATTGTTTTAAGTAGGACATTAAAATCTCCTAGTATTGTTGTGTTTTTGTCATGATTGCTCTTCAGTTTTGTTATTGTCTTAACGTATCTTTGTCCTCCATCATTTTGGTGCATATATATTTATAGTGCTATTTCTAGTTGTTGTACTGGGTCCTGAATCATATTCCCTTTTCTAATTGGAAGTCCATTGTACCTGATAGAAGTATAGTTGATCCCGGCTTTTTGGTTGCCATTTGCTTATGTAAGTGTTGTCTAGTCAAATTCTAAGCCTATGTTTGTCTTTTTGGTGAGATAAATTTTCTTGTGAAAAGCAGGTTAGATTTTGCTTTGAAATTCATTCAGCTACTCTATCCCTTTGACTGGTGAGTTTAGGTCGTTTACACTTAAGGTGATTATTGAGACAAAAGTGCTCATTGTCATTTTGTTTTGGTTTGCCTTATTTTTAAGATCTTCCTTTTATGTTTTGTTTAGGTTATATTTCCATTGTCTTTTGTGTTATGTCAATTAATTATTGTTTGAGGCTTCTGTTGATATTAGTATATGATGGGCTATTCGTGTTGTACGAATAGACGAGACTGTTGTACGAATAGATGAGACTGTTGTACGGTCTTGTCCCTGACTTGTTCTGATGCGTCACCTATTAGTCTCTTTTCCCCCTGTGTCAAATGATTCATGTGTTGTTATTTCTATGTTCTTCGTTCTGTTGCTTTCTAATAACCTCCTTAAGACTTCTTTTATGTGTGGTTTGGTATTGATAAATGATTTTAGTTTTTGCTTTTTAGTGCAGCATCTTACA